ACGAATGCATGTTGTCGGATGACCGGCGCATAAGGCACCTGCGGGAGCCTGCTCGTCGCCACTCTCACGGGATCGAGCAGCTCACGGGAGCCTGCTAGTCTTGCTTTCTTGTGTGCATACGTAATCTCGTAGCAGCGGTTTCTTGAGGCAGAACTACATACAGCTTCCACCGTTTTCATATCGCACTATCAAGCGTATGGACTTGAAACGTCTTAGGCTCGTGTAGTCATCGTATTAATCAGTTACGCGACAACAAAATCTTGACGTAGAAGTAACTGCTTATGAACTGAAACCCTCACATGGTGCGACTTGAAAACGGTGTAAGTTGTACTTTCGTCCCATGAAGCCGACAGCTACTCCCTCGCCCGCCCGCACCATGTGTTATTGACGACTGCACAGCCGGTCAGCCCGCGCTGGCCGTCGTTAACGACGGCTCCGTCATCGGCACCCCGAGTGTTGTTGGGTGCACTGACCTGTGGTGCGCTTTTGACGAGCCTCGTTCGCAAGTGTGTACCCAGGCCCCGCACATTACCCGGCGTCTGGACACGAGCAAAGGGGCTGTTCGGCGATCGTGCTTAATTCTTCCAAATTGCTGTGGCGGGGCTGTGACCTGGCCAATAAAGCACACAGACCTCCAATGCTTCCCGCAAACTCAGTGCTCGCCTCCCTAAAAGTGCCTGTTTTCCGCTGATGACTCCTTCCCTATCACTTAGTTTCCACCTGTGAGTTTGCGAACGGGGCTCTGGTTATCTTCCACTGCCGGTGTGCCGGGGCGTGTTGTTCATCTTTAAAGAGTGCCTTCTGGTTTGAACGTTTGTCCGCCCGTCTTTCGCTTGTGACACCCTCCGTTAGCAGCACAGTTTCATCCAGTTAACCAGTCCTCTCTGACCGGAAAGCGCAGTTTTTGGCACCAGATGACCGTGTCCCCTGAAACTTACCTAAACCCAGCCTTCACGTTTCCATCAGCTGGTTGTAAATGGCTTCTCGCAGATAGCATTACGTAAATGACAATGCGTCAGATATTACTTCAGGGTGGTATAACCCCTACATTTGAGTTCAAGCGTCTCTCTGCCAATGCCCACCAGGGTGTACATAGTCCTTTGTGGCCCCCTTATAAATTACAAATATCATCCACTTAACCACTTTGGATGATAATAGAGCCAAGTATTTTTGCCCTTCACCACGTGTTTAGCCTACTGTTTCTGCACGGTGCAGGCCGCTCTTGGCTTCTTTTCTCTTGGCTTTCCGAATCAGCGAATAGAAAAGGGAGCGCCAAAGAACAGTGCTTAAGTATCAAGTTCCCGGTTTGGGTTCTCGGCTTGTACTCAGTCACGTATTTCCAGTTTCCTGTGTCTTTCGTACGTTTCATTGCATCAGCCATCGATCATTGCCCCATTCCTCTCAAATCCCTGCTGTAGAGTGACGAGGTGCGAGTTAGGCTCTGCTGATCTTGGGTTCAAGTTAGCCCTCCCAAGTTCCTGCGTCTGTCTTGCATTTTACAGCATCAGGTACGGGTCGTTCCTCGGTGCATCTCCCCCTTGATTTGGCCGTCTGTGTCAGTCGCTGCCAACTCACATCTGACACATCTTGAACCGTTTCACCCTGGTTCACGGCCTGGAGTGTCGCAAACACTTCAGAATCGCTCTCAAAGCTGTCTTCTGGCCACATTTACAACTGCCAATGACCTAGAGGGGATTTCTAGTCCGACACCGTCCACAGCTTCAACAGTCCTAAAAGCCCTTGCAAACGACGCGAAACCCTTCGCGGCTTTGCCCCACGCTGTTCAGTGACGTAGTTGTGACGTCACCGGTCAGGCCGCAACAAGCGTCATCTGCCCTGGAGCTTCCACCTGACACTGATCTGTGCCGCCCGCCGTAGGTGTTCGTGCTGCTACAGTTCGACCCTGGCATGGAGTACATCCCGAACCGGGGTCACAAGGTCGACCTCACCAAGGAGGACAAGTCCTGACTTCTGCTCTGCAGCGCACTCACCGATGGCCCCTACTCGTACATCTAGCTGTACCGCCCCAGGCACACGGCAGCGGCGACGACCAAGACGACGACCGGCGACCCCGGCGGCCGGTGGTTGCCATGGAGACGGGCGAAGTCCATAGCAACTGGTTGCGTCCTTGGCGACTGGCGGCATCCGCAGCAACTGGTTGCCGACACGGCGACTGGCGGCGTACGCGGTGGGCGGTGGCATACTTGGCAACGGTCGGCATCCATGGCAACCGAATGCTGGTGTCTATGGCAACACCTGAAAAGAGACAGCTGGTGGTGCGATAAAACTCCTCGACGACCGTGGCGCTTGTTGCGCGTCTGCTTCGCCGCCAGCAGCGAAATGCCGGTGGCAACTTTACGGTTCACGCTTTCCACGCGCGCCAGCCGGCACCAGCTCTGGCGTGCCGCCCGCGGCCACGCAGCGCAGAAGGCTCGCACTCCACACCGCTTCTTCTGCGGAGTGATGATGTCAGTGTCGCCATGGAAACGCGTGGCCTCTGCCTCGGTAATTCTTCGCCATGGAAACGCAGTGGTCGGACGCCGGTGTGGCCTCGGGAACGGTGCGATCGGGAGGGGCCGTTGGAGTACGCTGCGGCCGAGCGGTGCGCTGCAATGCGCTTTGTGTTACAGCACGCGCTCTCGGCACCATATCACTGTCACGGCACTTCGTGCATGGGCGCATCCAGGCACGCATGTGACGGATTTGGCGTGGTCATGCTCGCAAAATTTTGTGTTATTGATGAAACTTGCGCAATCGTCGAACAGAGGAATTTCCACACCTGGGCGATGGGTGCTGGTAGCGCTCGTCCCGAAATGTCGCTGGGTGCGCCCCTGCCCGTGCCGCCGTTCGTTATGTGTACGATGCACACACGCAGTGCCTGTCCGTAGTAGTTTTGTGCCATGTCGGTCGCTGTTGCTCGGTCGTTCGTCCGTCACGCCGTCTGCCGGAGAGCCGACCCAGCTGGATGTGTGGGGGCTGGTTTTTGATTACTCATGTGCCCTGAGCGGCTGCCGTTCGTGGGCAGCGATGTTATCGGCGTGGTTTTCGTCCTTCGTGCTAATCAAGACTTTGTGCGATCAGTGCTGCATCGCGCATTACGCGTCAGCTCTGTTATAACTCGGTGAGATGTGGTTTGACACTTCGCTGTCTTCGCTGTCGGTTATCTTTGGCACGTTTACTCTTTCACCACTTTACCCGCATTTACTCTATCAAAGTTATTCGCCCGGCCAGAGTAGGCTTCGGCTTTATTGAATACCACTTTGAGAAAAACATAACGCGGCACCGCGGGTGCACTGCGGGGCCCGCTTAGCCTCGGCGTGGACGCCGTGGCTCGAGCTCCTCTCAAACCATTCCACGCGGGGATCGCGATCGGCGATCCTCCGCAGCCGCGGGCGCTGCGATCCTCGCGAACGCAGCGGCATTCGCGCCGCACTGTCCCGCGCCCGTCACGGTTGTGGCACCGCCGTGTCAAGTCCTCGCTGGCGCGCGCCGGGCGCTCGAGCGCCGCGTCGCCAGGCGCTGGTCGTGATATATGTGTGTAGGGTAAGGCGCGCGGGAGGTGGGCGGTGGAGCGTCGCTGGCCGCGGTCGGCCGCGCGAAGCCGCCGCGGCGCTCCGGCGAGTCGTCAGTGGAGTGGCGTTGTTTCCCCCTGCAGTCCTGCAGTCGTGGGTGCGGTCGTGCGCGTCTTTTCCCAGCCCCGCGGCGGTCGTCGTCCTGTCCCGTCACTCTGGTCATCCGCGTGTCGTCTTCACTGCGATGTCCAGTGGGCCTCATTCCCACGCTATGGCGGCTAGCGGCTCCTGCACTCACCGCAGCAACCCATTTACCCACCTTGCTATAGTGAGCTGCTTTTCTTCGGCTTCGTATTACCTACATCCCTTTTCTTACCGTGTTGAGCGATCTGTCCTCCCCTTGACGACAGCGACTCAAAATTATCATCCACTTCACGTGTATTAGTGTTGTCATCCCACCCGCTGCTTATAGGTGGTTCTCTCCGTTTTCCCCACACTGCGATGATTTTATGCTTCTCCTCTCACTTCAATGATCAGCTTGGGCGCCCTTCCCATATGGCAGTGATGTACTCCTCTTCACTGCGGTGCCCTTTTCTCTCCTCCACCCCAGTGACCCACTTTTCCCCCGCCGCAATAGCCTGCGTCGCCTCAGCGCAACTGACCAACCCACGCTCTGCCCCCTGTCGCCCGGGGCTCCCCACCCGGAAAGCAGCGACCGGGAGCAATAAGCTGAACGTCACGCCGACCCCTCCGCCCCTCTCTCCGACGCCTCCGCCTCTCTGTGCGACGCCTCCACCCCTCTGTCCGCAGTCCAGGTTTTGTACCAGCCAGGTTGCACGCGCGCGGTCGTGCTCGGTTCCGTGCCGCGAGCGTGAGCCACCCGGGACGCGTGAGCTGGTGTTTGTTGCCGAAGTATGTGCACACGCATTCGTATGCGCCCGTTATGTCATTTGATTAATACATTATTTTTAAGCACTACGTCGGACGTTTGTGCTCGCGGCCTGATTGGGTTGTGGTCTGATTGAGCCTGATTGGATTGTGGTCTGATTGCGCCTAATTGAAATGTGGTCTGATTGAACATGATTGGATCGTAGTCTGATTGAGCCTGATGAGATTGTGGTCGGACTGAGCCTGATCTGATTGTGGTTTGGTTATGCCTGCTTGGATTGTGGTACGACTGAGCCTGATCCGGACTCGTCATCGAAGACGGTCAGCGGTAGACACGTGTCACCACAGATGAGCAAAGGCCTACTACATGTCTGCTTGGCAACATAATTCTGAACTGGAAGCATGCTTCGACTTATCCGTCCTTTGCGGCTCACCGTATTGGGTGTCTCATATTATCTCATCCTGCTTCGGCCATCTGATGTTTGTTTGGGGGGGAAATAGGGAGCAGATACACTGACGAAACAAGTCGCGAGATTGTCCGCCAAACCGATCAAGTCTAAGTTTTCTTCAAAGAGGGCGTCACAAACAAAACGTCACGCCCAACAATGTATTGCGTTTGATTTCAGCACACTGACTTCTGAAAACGTCACGTATAGAACGCGCCACAGCGAAACATGAGCAATGTCTCCAAAGTCTACGTATCTCACGCTTTCACAAACGACCTGTCTAAAACTTCTCTTCCTCGCACATCGCGTTATTCATTATTGCACGCACGATTATGACGGTACATCCTCCACCTTTCGAATCATTTCCCGCATGGCTACCTTCGACACAATTATTGGTCGACAATTTCACATACTATTAAAGGATACATGCCTGTGGGACGATCGTTTGGTGGTCATTGACCTTGCTCGTCACATGCACATCACTGACGCGTGCTGGAAATACACCAACCCGTACTGAAACCGCATGAGACGTACCATTCACCTTACGACACCGTTCAGACACACGGGGCGGATCAACATCACGGATGGCTTACGCCTCCCTGGACCGCCACCGAGTGCGAACTACCTCGACTGCTCGTCAAAAGGTATGGTCCACCTTAAGCAACCGGAAGGTCGTCACCCGGTGTGAAGTGCCCCCCTTGACCACCACGCAGCGTGGGTTACCTCGCTACCTGCGGCTACCTCAGATGTGGCTACCTGAGATGCGGCTGCATGTGGCCATCTCAGATGTGACTACCAGTGGCTAGCTCAGATGTGGCTGCCAGCGGCTACCTCAAATGTGGCGACCTGTGGACACCTCAACCTGCGGCTGCATCAGATGTGGTTACCTGCGGTTACCTCAGATGTGACTACCTTTGGTTGCTTCAGACGTGCATGCCTTTGGCTGCCTCAAATTTGGCTATCTGTGGCTGTCTCAGATGTGGCGACCTACGGCTACCTCCGATGCCGGCAGCACAATGCGGCTACCTCACCGACCGTCGCACACTGCCCACTATCTGTGCCGACTCTCCACGCACTGGACCACATGCTGGGCACTAGCTGTGCAGGCTCTTCACATACTGAATTACACCCTGCGCGGTGCTCTCCGCCGACTCGATGCAGCCGTCGACGTTGGAGTGAGTGAAGGCGTCTCCTGCAGCCACCACCAGCGGGCGGCGACAGAGCACCACGTGGCCCGGGCTGCCCGGGTACGGGGTCACCACCTGGGGTCGGGAGAGATCCACCGAGGTCAGAAAGACGGTCAACGACAACGGGTCGGCGTGATGTCGTCAACTATGGGCCCAAACAGCTACCTGAGTTCATGAGAGCTTAAAAGGAGGTCATAAAAAGGTTGCTAACGAAACGACGAAAAAATCAGGACGTAGCCACGAGAGGCAGGCTAAGGCCGGGAAGTGCAGAACTGGGGTCTAGGGTGGCGCGTGACCTGGGGTTAACCGAAAATACGTGAGCCATGACCTAGGTCAGAAACAGAATGCCGCCAACTTGAGATAGCAATACAATACGTCTGACGCACAAGAACGATTCAGAGGCGGACTTCAGACATTGCACGTCAGACAGCTACTACCAAAAAATAAATAAAAAAACAAGTGGCCAGGCACCTGAGAAAAGCGCCATTTCTGGCACTTGATGGTAACCGGCACAGGCCAATCAGGGAAGAGCTCCGTGACGTGGCGCAGCAGGATTGGCTGCACCTGATCCGGTGTCTTCTCCACGTGCTCCACTCCGAATGCCACGCTCGTGTGGACAACCACCGATGTCGGGGCAGTATCTGAAGACGGAGGCGAGCTTACGATAGCAGATGCTAGTGTCAACGCTACAGCATGCGTTTGCCGCGAAGCATGTATAAACAGGAACAGGGAGATAACTCTTTTACAATACTCACACTGAAACTAGAGTGATGGCGGAAAATCACATGAAGCATCCTTGTAATGAGCCTACAAAAAAGGCTCCGTCGGGGGAGCATGCGGTCAAACAAGTTTCAAATCAATTCTCACGCAGACTTAAAGGGAGAGTTCCATATTGATATGGGCGTTTGAACTGAAATAGCCATCTTGAAGATCTTCGGGTGCAGTTTACAGCCCTGCCCTTCTTAAGTCCAAAACCTATCTAGTTTCTGAGCTACACGCCCGCCAAAACGCGCAGATAATTTCAGGGAGAGTATTTCAAGGTCGCCATGGCATTCATGACACTACAATAACGTCATTCAAATGCTGGCGCTCCATAAGCCATGCAACGTCCAAACCCAAGGCAAATGTAATGGTCCTGTTGTACATATCTGGCGTTCTTGGGCACGATGTACAGATATAACCGCCGTCAATTAGCTCACAGTCATTGTTATGCAAGGTGAGGTGTTGACATCAAACAATGACACATCGACGGGCATATTTCCTTAAAGGGAAATTGGTGTCTAGAGCAGCCTTTTCCAATAATCATGCCGAGTCAGCTTTTTAATAATATCTGATGCCTCCTCCCCTATCTTCAAATGACAAACATTCCATTTACATTTTAAAGACGCACAAAGAATGCACAAAACAAAACCGTTAGGAAAAGACCTTGATACCCTGGTTTTTAAGCATCATGAGTTCAGAAGTCTCATGCTAACAGTTATCGACCGTCAACATGCCGGGAGGCACTGGTCGAACGATATTAGAAAGCCAGCATTTGTTATATTGTCAAAAAATGTTATACCGTTATTTCGAGTATTTTTAACATCACCAACATTCCCTCTGTAATGTCGATTCAAGGCGTCATTCCACCTTTGTGAGTGTGCATGTGTTTCTACTGAGATCGCCATTTTCAAGACAATTCCCTGGAGTTCAAAGTTATGTCCTTTTTAGGACTTCAAATCATCTTGATTCTCTGGGTTTGACGTACGCCAGCTCGTGCAGTCTTTTTCGCACCGCATATTTGAAAGTCACCCATATACGCATGACACGTATGTCATAAAAACGTGATGCGGAAGCCCCCACCTTATTCCCCTATCTTACTCATGGTCAAGACAAATATGACCACCGTGGCATTCGCATTTGAAGTACGTCAGCATCATTTATCCCAACGATAGCAGGCAACTGGCTAATAGCCCGTTCAAGCTACTGATGGCCTTCGTCAATCAAGAACCGCGTTTTGTGACGGATAACGCCAGCATTCGGGAAGTTCTTCTTGTTATGACGGACATGATGCTGCGAATAAAGTAACTTAAGAAAAGCAGCGTATCCGAGAATACGAGTGCGAGTACAAAAACCCTGGCATCACGCAGCGATCTACAAGAGCACCGCGAGAAAAGGCCGAACACACGAACATACTGCAAGTAACGGTGATTTAGACGCCCAGAACAATAACACAATAGTTCAAAACATAATGGTAAACAAGTGAGTCACGCCGTCTGCTGCAGTGGCAGTTCTGGCACGCTCAGTCTGGTAGTGACTCTGACGTCATTATACATTCCATGACATAATCAAATGATAACGTTTTGAGAGGCTTATTTACCAAAACATGCAATTCTGCTACTTGGAGCAATCGTTTACACTTAAAGCATACCAATAGTTGCACGTGAGCTTCTCCATAATATCTGATGCTTGCTTCAATATGTAAAAGTGCGGACACTTTTAATTCAGTACCTTCCTGTATACTCAAGACCATAACCAACATAACATACCGCCGCCATAACCAACCGCCAACATAACAACTCAAAACCCATAAAAACGGATACGCATTTCGCCCTACCTTTCCCCCGCTTCACGTTGTCCACAGCCACGTATCGGATGACTGGATGATCCGAGACGTATGTGGCGCCCCAGGGCACGTCCACCGCGCCAGGTTTGTCGAAGAACAGTCCGAGCGCGTACCGGGAGCTGTACTCGACGCCTCGGAGGCCGGCCACCACGCTGTCCTCGTCAGCATCTGGGGTAGAGCATCGGTGACGTTACAAGAAGGCAGTCTAAATGTCCCCACCAATCCTAATGCGGTGCACCCGTGACGTCACAGGAAAGATGCCACGATGTCTCCGTCAGAATCTACCATAGCACATCACACACTACAGTACGGATACTGCAACGCTCCACTCAGAATACGAGGTAGCGTACAAGTGACGCCACGAGCCCGCAATCGCACTTTCCTACTCAGTTTTCGTGGCGGGGCTTGTGCTTTCATAGGAGGGCAGCAACAGCCCACAATTCATGTCTCCGTACCCGTCAAAATTTGAGCTACCGTACTAATGCTGTTACCTGCAGGCTGTCGCATTATATCCACCGCTATCTGAGATACAGGCCAGTGACACCGTAATAGTGCGTTATAAGTTGGCTGCCACACTGCGTCTGTCAGTGACTGGGGAAAATGTCAGTGATCAATGATGTCACAGGTCTCTCACCACAATGCTTCCGTACGGTCTCAGGTTGAGTGCTAATTGGCATGGGCGGCGCCACGGGTTTCGAGTTGGGTTTGAAAAGGCTTGTCCAGGGGGCTCCTGGATAAAATGGGCCCCTCCTCGCGTTAGGGGCCTCTTCCACAGCGTCGCATTCAAGGACAATGTGCACCAAGGGCTGTATATATTTAGATCTTTTTTAGGGCTTTAGAGCTGTTCAGATCCAGTTCCTTTAACCACGTGTTACATGCATGATATGCGAGGAAATAAACGTCTAGTGAAAACATCCAAAATGGGGCCTTACATTATCCAGCAAAGGGTTCCACTGATCTAAAGCAGGGTCACTTTAAAAAACAAAACAAAAACGGCATAGGGCTCCCTAGTTTGAAACATAGGCCTCCGGAAGCAGCGAAGGTAACACAACACTGGGTTTCCTACATACAACATCGGGCTTCCTGATCTATAACTTTGGTTACTTTATTTATAGATGTGACCTCAGGACCCAGAAAACGCGTCGATTAACGTAGCAAAAAGTCTTTTGAGACCGATGTATTACTCTCCAGCTCAGTTATGGGGACTCCTTTATCTAAAGTATGGTACTCTACGTGTAGCTACAATGGACTATGGGCCAGATCGCCTTCAAAATGTCGGATTAATTCAATAAGCGAAAGTCGTCAGAATACAGTTTTCAGAGTGCAGACGTCCTGCGAATCAAATGGCGAGTTATACACTGACCATTACATTTGAACATCCCCACGCATTTGTCTTCGCCAATCTGTCAAGGTCACATGACAGACAGGCGCTGTTCACGTGCAAGAAAACCGGGCGACGAGTCCAGGCAGCCGCTGTGCCTTTTCCAGTGTACCTTTCTATTCACAAGGCAAACCATCGGTCGACTGAAGCAATTTTGAATATATCTACGCAAGGAATAAAACGTTTCAGCGGATATAACAGCATTTGTGAGATTGATCATTGGGTGTGTATGAAGGCGACATCATTTTACAGAAATCAAAGATGGGCCAATAAATACATACATACATACATACATATATATATATATATATATATATATATATATATATATGTATATATATATATATATATATATATATATATATATATATATACATGCAATGTTCCATGAAGCACCGCGATAGTTCCTCTTTTGGTATTGAGATAGAAACATTGCCATTCAATCTCGACAAAAAAATTGCGCAAAGTTGCGCGAAAAAATGCTATTGCGCTACAACTAAACCATGTTTCCGTGACCTGCCATCTAGCGAGGAGAATAGTAGCTACGCTGTCGGTCAGGTGGCTACCGTTATTTTTCTATTGCGATTGTGGGCCCTGTTGCGCGTTCGTAGTGTAAGGGCACTGTCGATGGGTCTCGGACTCGCTCGTAAAAAGTCCCCTTTCATCCCAAATCATGGTAGCCTCATCTCCGTCGTCAGTTCTAGCTGCGCCCCTTTGTCTACACGCCCGTAATGGACAAAAGTCCATGTACCCAGATCACAGGGCAATGAGGAAACCTACCCTGACGCAAATAAATCTGATATCATTAAGCTAAGCAGCAATGTCGGGTGCCTGTAAATTCACGGACCGGCACCGGTCGCGCATGCGTAGCAGCGAAACTAACCTCGCCTATCGTACCTTCCTCGTCGACTCACAATGCTCTAGCGTCATGATGTTAAGCGTTGTCATATCCCCTGGCAGACGCGTCATTTTCGCCAGCATTGCCGGTGAATGAGGATAGACCACATCGCTACTACAATTCGAGCTAATCATTACAGAAGCCGAGCGAAATTAAGGCACATGTGACTGGAGAGCCATGTCTTTTATACTGACACATTGCCACTGTTCTCCCTATATAGCAGAAATATTGATAGTTCACTTCTAAAACACAATATTTCAGTACATTTTGCCGGGACAAGGAGCAAAATGTAACGCAGTAAAGGCCCTTCGAACTAAACCAAGCTGAATATTGTTCTGCAAAACCGTATGATGAAACTAGATGAAAACGGCAGAACACGTCCTTACACCACCTTGGTGCTCATCAAACAAGCCCAACTGATTGGAGCACGTCAAAAACCCACTACCCAGACAGAGGTGTTATGTACATATATACGTATGTGAATGCATATGGCTACTCAATGGACACGTGCCTATGTAATGCATCATATTTAACCAAGAAGTGGTCTAGTACTAATGTAACGTAAAGGCCATCATAGCTCAAGTCGATCTGATTTATTACAAAAAATTAGATTCGGTAGGCGCGTCTCCGTCAGCTAACTTAAACTCTATGGTAGGCCTGATATCTAATGCAAAGATACAAAGGGGTTTACCTTTCAAAATTGACGATATCCCGAAAACAGTGTCATACCCCGTGCTTAGACGCATTTTGTACACATGTGAATGTCGGCGGCAGGTTTTCTCTGATGCGTGCCTCGGTGAAGAGGACAGAAATTTTGCGATTGTCTGTTTCCTGTCAATGCTTTCTAGCCTCCGCGATATCTAGCTGAATTTTGTACGGAGTTCTATAACGGGAAGTATATGTAACCCGTAAATTGGTGTTAATGTGTGAATGCACTTATTATGTTTAGGAATACATGGTTTATAGTAATATCCCTTCTGCATGTATATTATTGTACGAATATATACGTAGATATATATGAATGTGTCTGTCCTCGCTGTGCTTTACGTGTCAGGTTATTCATGAAACAGCACAAAGGGGAATGTTTCACATTTGAAGATATTGAAGAAAACATCGGATATGGTGAAACAAACTCACTTTTAGCTATTGCAATACTTTCTAAGTGGAAAACACTGCTCTAGACTGCATAATTCTCTGTTTGGTAAATATACTTCTCAATGCGTCATGGTTTGATAACGTCATCGCACCTTGCACAACATTGATTGAGAGCCAATTGGCAGCCGTTATATCTGGAAATCGCGCTCACAAACGCCAGATACGAACGCTTCGACAAATATCTTTTTCTTGGCTTTCATCGCCGTATGGTTTATGGAATGGCAGGATTTGAGTGACGCTATTATGACACCATGAATTCCAATGTGACTTTTAAATACTCCCCCGATATACCTTTCCCATTTTCGCGGGCGTGTAGCTCAGAAACTAGAGGGGCTTAGATCTTAAGAAGGGCAGGATTGCGTACAACAGCGAAAGGTTTTCAGGATAGCTATTTCATTAAAAACCCAATATATATGTGTGGAACACTCCCTTTCGGGTTGCGGGAATAGACACCTGCGATTATGTTTCACAGGCAAAAAAACACGCCATGCATAAGCGGGCTAATTACCTTAAGCTACCCGTCATTTGAGAAAATAATTTGAGGCGGCGGGCACCAAGTTGTCCCGCTGCATCTGCCATACAACGCCACTATCCAGAAAGATCAAAGAAGATCACTGAGGGGGGGGGGGGGGGTCTTTCAAAGAACAGAAATGGACACCAGCAAATTTAATATTGCCTCCAAAGTCCCGCGAATTTTTACCGAGTTCCTGCGAGAACGCCCAGCAGTTAGAAACCTTCCCGGGATGATTATTCCCATTTAAAGGCACACCCGACTTAGGACATCATTTTCCGCGCATACCCCTTCCCCTCTTTGGTCACATCTCGCGACAGAAGCAACTCCATGCCATGGAAAGGCGGAAATGCATGCGCCCCCCTGTCTCTAATGACTCACTTCAATTCTGTGCCCCGGCAACTCACGGGCATCGGTGGTTCAGTGGTAGAATGCTCGCCTGCCACGCGGGCGGCCCGGGTTCGATTCCCGGCCGATGCATTTTCGTTTGGTGCGCTCTTTGGCGAAACTGATCGCATTCCCAGTCACTTTATGAACCAACCTCACCCACTGGCACAATTACTCGCGGAATGATCACGGTCATTTCACATCAAGGGCTCCTTGCTTTTCAGTAATCTGAGCCAGCAAGGCATTATTTCCACTCACCCTTTGCATAGTTCTTAATAATACATGTTATAATATGCACTTCTCCCACATGCATTGCCTTGTCCTAAATGTGATATCCTTCCAAGAGCCTACCATGTATCTACCTAAAAACGTTTTGTGTGGGTCATACTTGCCTAGTTCCACTTAAAATAAAGGCTGCATGGAATATTTTTATACTGCCATCAGCATCATGAGACAAAATCTGAAGGGGAACACCAAAGCAAAACTGTCAACTTTTGCACAGTCTCCACTTCATACCCTGGTCTACGCATCCGGGTCTTATACGTACATCGCGGCAGAGCGCATACAGAGGAAGGTCAAAGGCAACACGTGGAAGCGGAGCATCCAGCATAACAAGAAAACAAAAAGACAAATAAAATACAACTAAGAAAGTCACAACGAATGCAACGAGCACACTCACCGGAGCCTTTGAGCAGGGAGCCTCCGAGGCCGAGGATCTGAGGCGTGGGCATTGTCAGCACGACCACGTCAAACGCCTCCTGGCGGCCGGCGGCGGTGACCACTGACACTGTGCTGTCACCTGGCGACACCTGAAGCAAACACAGCTGGCTGTGACAACCGCCAGGGTGGCACACCGCCGAAACACCGAAGACGGCATACTATAGATTATATACGCAATATGCCATCATATCGGATGCCAATATGCGATAATCAGCAATGACAGTGGCGCATGCACGGAAAGGCCCTAGTGGGCACGTAGCCCACCCTTTTTTCTTCATCCATGCGTTAATAAGTGTGTGACTAAATGTCAACCTACAAAAAAAATGGGAAGACTCGTAAAACATGAGTAGATCAAGAACACACAATGTTCCTTTATGCTGTGCAATAAATTTGGCACGTCTATGACGTACTGAACTTGGTTTTCCGTGAAAATCTTTGAAATGTACCCCTCCCATCACAAAATCTTGCGTACGCCCGAGTGCGTCTGGTGGGTAAAACCATAGCCCCGGTCAAGCCCAAGGCACATTAAATACGATGACAACGACGTTGCGAACCTTAAAACGTCAGTTCATCTTACCAGGCTTCATAAATACACTTGTAATATAAACTGCTATTATATTCATATCTATTCATCATAATATTATTTACTATTTTGTATTATGTTGCTATACATTTTTGTATTTTTGATATGATGTTATTACATTTATTTGTTATTATAATAATAAATACTGCTGCCACATAATGGTCTGCGGACGCTACAGCTGTTGACAGGGCAGGCCGCCCGGATCTCATACGATTCTGGACGTCTCTCCCCGCGGATCGGTAAGCAGGGCATCAAATTCAAGGCATTAGTGAAATGTTATTTTATCAGCGATTTAAAACCGACTGCACCTCCCATTCATGGCTAGACTGCATTTCCCCTTTGGGCTACGGTGGTGACATTTCGGTTCCCGTGTCACTTCCGGCTGGTGCAACTTATGTACGCTGCCGGAAAGTCTATAACAGCGCACGACTAGCGCCTCCCCCATCCCTCCTCCTCCCTCCCTCCCTCCCACCCACCTCTGTCACGTGCTGGCCGAACTCAGGCTCCGCCGTGGCGCGACGCAGAAAGTGGCGCACGAGCGCGCTACTGCCGTCGCTGGCCACTAGGTGGCGCGTGCCGGCCGGGGAGGGGCGCAGGCCCTGTACGGTGGCGGAGAGCGGCGCCAGCACCCCTGCTCCGGTCAGCTCCGAGTAGAACCTGTCAGCGCGGCGGACGAGGGATGGTGGTGATAAAGGGAGGGGCGTAGACCCTGTACGATGGCGGAGAGCGGCGCCAGTACCCCTGCTCCAGTCAGCTCCGAGTAGAACCTGTCAGAGCAGCGGGCGACGGATGGTGTTGATAAAGGGAGGAGCGTAGACCCTGTACGGTGGCGGAGAGCGGCGCCAGCACCCCCGCTCCGGTCAGCTCCGAGTAGAACCTGTCAGAGCAGCGGGCGACGGATGGTGTTGATAAAGGGAGGGGCGTAGACCCTGTACGGTGGCGGAGAGCGGCGCCAGCACCCCTGCTCCGGTCAGCTACGAGTAGAACCTGTCAGAGCAGCGGGCGACGGATGGTGTTGATAAAGGGAGGGGCGTAGACCCTGTACGGTGGCGGAGAGCGGCGCCAGCACCCCTGCTCCGGTCAGCTCCGAGTAGAACCTGTCAGCGCGGCGGACGAGGGATGGTGGTGATAAAGGGAGGGGCGTAGACCCTGTACGGTGGCGGAGAGCGGCGCCAGCACCCCTGCTCCGGTCAGCTCCGAGTAGAACCTGTCAGCGCAGCGGACGAGGGATGGTGGTGATAAAGGGAGGGGCGTAGACCCTGTACGGTGGCGGAGAGCGGCGCCAGCACCTCTGCTCCGGTCAGCTACGAGTAGAACCTGTCAGCGCGGCGGACGAGGGATGGCGGTGATAAAGGGAGGGGCGTAGACCCTGTACGGTGGCGGAGAGCGGCGCCAGCACCCCTGCTCCGGTCAGCTCCGAGTAGAACCTGTCAGCGCGGCAGGCGACGGATGATTGTGTTAAAAGGAGGGGAGGGGGGGGGGGGGGGGGGGGAGGACGAAAGCCCCAAATCATCTACAGCTCGAGTGCTGAAGTGTTGTGCGGGTTTTGATCGAAACGAGTCATTTGATTAATACAATTTGCGGAATCCTCGCATGCGTCTGGCACTGATTTCTGCAGTTCCATCCCCGCCAAAGCACAGCAGGGCGTTTAAAGCCGGATGGACCGACGAAAAATATGCGTCACAGCGTCACAGGCTGTCATTTTCTATTTGCATTTTTTATTTTCTATTCTGCCTCTTTCCCTCACGCTGAGCAGACATTGAGAGTACGGACGCGGACATGGGCACGGACACAGATAAGGACATGGACTGCGGACACGGACAAGAACGCAGACGCAGACAAAACCCGGACACGCGTGGACACGGATGCGGTCAGCTCGCCACCAGTTGCTCTCCCAACAGATTCTGCTTACACAGAGTTAAAAAAGCAGTCAAACGTACTACACAAACAACTGACACCAGCCAGCCAGCCAGCCGCTGCTCCTGACCTCTGGTGGCGCTGCTGGTAGTGCGGTGACACGGTCACGTACTGGGCGCCCAGGTCAGCATTGCCGCAGCCCTCGGGGCCTCGCGAGGTCGAGAGACGACCGCCTGCGGGCATCGGTCGGGTCAGGCGCGTCCTCCGACCGCAACAGCACGAGAGTGGCGTGACCAAATACCGCGAAGCTGACGAGTACACAGAGCATTGTAAACCTGACCTGCACTGTCGTGCGTCACGTCTAGTTCGCGAGCCTTGGCCAATGACAGGTTACATGGTGCATTGACTCACATCTTCCAAGGTTACATGGTGTGTTGACTCACTTCTTCCAAGGTTACATGGTGCGTTGACTCACATCTTCCACCTGCCCCAATATCTTGTCATGCCTGCTCCACCTGGTCCATGGCTGCTATCTGTTCACACCCAGCCTGGTCGCGCCTGCTTCGTTCCGCAATACGTGCCCGCTCCTCAGGTGTTTTGCCGCATTGCCCGCCTGCTCCGTCGACATTGTGCAAACCTATGTCAAAGTTGTGGCAAAATTCTTCCCCTTATAAGTTACCTCACAATACCAACCCATTCCCATGAGACCTAACTTGCAGCACCTGTCAGTTCCTTGGGCCTTATGCATCCCATCCTTTAGGCCTTGTTTACCCCATCCTTTAGGCCTTGTGTCCCCTTGAGCCTTCTGCCTGGCATCACCTACCAGCCCAGCCTGGCATCAAAGGACCTACCTGCCCCTCGTGCCTTGTCCCAGATGGCCAGCTGGCAGCGAGACTGCAGCTCCTCTCTCAGCAGACATGATGTCACGGCTGAGGTCAGCCCGCCGCCCACCACCAGCACACGTGGGGTCATCTGCCGAGGGTGGGCATGATCAGCAGGGCTGAATGTAGCCAGGGGAGAGGGTGCATTGTCATGTTAGCAGAGCTAGGTGCAGCCAGATGAAGAGGGTGTACTGTCATGTCAGCAGACTGAGGGAGCTGCTGCTGGGGACAGGGTGCTTTGGTTGAGGAGAGCAGTGCCAAATGTGGGGATCAAAGGGAGAGCCCATATCAAATGGAAAGACCATCGCCACATGGAGGCAGCATTCTTAAACTCATCCAGCAGGTGTTTAGGATGCAAGCATAAATTATTGCTGCCAGAATCCTCTCTCCAGCTGTCTTCACACTATTTGACAGAGCTAATCCATTGCCTTTTGATCCCAAACCTAGACATCTAACCTGCCGACCCCATTTCTCAAGCATGACATGCTGAGATGCTAGGATCACCACCACCAGATGGGGCAACCAGCAGTGAGCCCCAAGCTGAGGTCCGCCTGAGGGTGCATTGTCTGTGAAGATGTGGGGTGCAACAAAATTAAAATTGATTCTGCTGATACCCAAGCAGCCAAATATTAACACACCACATGGAGAAGCAGTGCTCAGAGGGAGTGGGCACCACCAGACTGGGCTGTGTTGCTCCATCACCACAAGAAAGTGTGCTTAGAGAGAGGGAGCACCACCAGACTGAGCTGCATTGCTCTGTCACCAGGGTGAGGGGTGCCATCTGAGCAAATAAACTGGGTGATTAGAACCATGCAATCTGACTGATGATATGCCATCTAGGAAAAAGCCCTCTGAAAGAAGGTGGTATTGTAAGAAAGGGGTCAGATCATGAGTTATGTCTTAATAAACATGCATGGATACATAATGCTTCTATGAAAAGAAAACCTGTAGATATCTCATCTTACATATATAATGCAAGGTACATCAGGCATACTTGGTAGGCCAATGCAATGATAGCCAAAAAGTGATGGTAGGCCAAAAGGTGGCCTTTATTTGCTCGCAAATCATGGAGCTCATTTGCCTTTGACTGTGTAAAATACTTAACGTTATAATGCACATTTAGCTGCAGGTGTGTAGTTTTACAAAATGAGTTGAGGGGTTCCTGAACAATGAAAAGTGGTGCAACCTGCCCCCAAACTACACCAACAAACAGATTTCTTCCCGAATTTTGACTATTTTCTTCTCAAAATTAGGGGGATAAAGCCTCCCCAACTGAATAAGAAATCACACTCCTCTTTTCTTACCTTGAATACTGCCCACGTAATAACAGCACAGACTTACAACAGACGAGGGGCAACGTCGAGCCCTAAGCAACTCAAAATTCGCAACACACAACCACGCAACACCGGGATATCATTGCGGACTTGGCAGCGTACCTCAAATGAAACAAGGGCGCCATAAATGTGGCACCCTAAGTTGCCAGCCGGCTTTCCTTTGGATTTATGCGGTTAATTTGTCAAACGGGTAATGCTTGTCACTGGTGGTCGTTTGCGTAAAATGAATAATGCTTTAGATATTCTGTCATGTTGGACTACAGTGATCAAGGCGCAAAATGACTCAAAGCCCGACCGGCAGCACTATGCTGTCTATGTGAGACAGGCAGACCGCTGATAAGCGAAGTGTACATTACCCTAGCATAGCTTTTGGACAACGTTCTATTTGTCGAAGTGCAAGTAAGTCCCGGGCCCCACCAAAGGCGTCACCTGCTGCATCCCGATTTATTTTGTCACAGCCCAGGCAAGAAAACTGGCAAAGTTGGTGCCACGTTTCAGTCGGAGGAAAACGCTGCTGCTGTGTCAAAAAGGTACCTGCTGTCATCCACTCTTACCTCGTGCTCTTTCAGACATTGCGAAGGTGGAATATTTCAGCTACCCTCTGACAGCTCGAATGAATCAGGAAGCCGTTGAATTTCTTCTTAGCACCATCTGCCTCCATTTCGGAAGTGACACCAGCCCGTCTCCCGCAGAGCTGCTGAACCGGGCTGAACTGAAGACCAAGCCACCTCCTGTGGATCCGTGCCTGCTGATGATTGGAGCGAGTCCAGCGGCGTTACGTCAAACCATGTCAAGATGAGCAGTGCACCTCTCCGAGCTTTTTGAGTGGAACTTTTTTAGCGATACATATGCCTCCACCCAACCAATCTCAACGGACTGGAAGCGGACCAGTATGTCCGAGTACGATGCAGGGTGCACCAGCGTAAATGCCCTCTCCTGCGTGACAGCCGGAGGGCTTGTTAACCTTGCGGCTACTGACAACTCTTACCTCTGGTGGAGGGCTCAGGGTACGAAAACACGATTGAGCATGCTCAACATCGGCGGCGTGCACGGCTTTATGACGTGGAACAGGGAGCATTTGGTAGATCCAATACTTCATGCGGCTGCCGGCGACTTGTTGTCAAAATATGTTTATGATGATGCTCACTGAGCTAGGGTTTCGAGCCGTGGAAACTTAACTTTTTCGTCCCGGGAATAGGTGGGTCTTTTCGGCAATTTTAGGCCGCTTTTGCAATTAATCAAAGGTCAGTCAAAAAAGAACAGCAGGAAAAGATAACTCATCGAAGGAAGGAGGAATTGTCGCTGATCTGGTGACTTTCTTCCTTGAAAAACGGCCTGAACTGAACATTAAAGTGATGGCCACTATTGGACCTGAGGCAAGCCAGCTGCAGGCCCAAGGCTCCTCAGCTAGCAATCAGTAACTCCTTGGCTGAATGCCCGGGGGCTGCAGGCTGGAGGTCCGGGGCTCGCCATCTACAGACCTGGGCTCGCCGATCGAAGATGCAGAATTCCAGCCCTTGGACCCGAGAGCAGTTGACAGAAGAGCTGAAGACGCCGTGCTCGCCGACTGGAGAAGCGGAACAAGCCGGTTTGCGACTTGTGCGTGACGAAGCCGCAGAGCGTACCCATGGAGATGTAATATAGAAGTTCACATAGGGCTGGAGCTTTGTTTTAAGCTGCTTTAGGCTAACAGTGTGTTGCATATCATCGTGTTAAGTCGCACCAGCGGGCTGTGCTTGTCACTTGCTAGCGTTGTAATTTTAACAAGGGCTCGTGTAAAGAGCTGCTCAGCTGCGGCGTGTTATAAGAGGTTTTGCATTTATTACCGATGAAGTTGGGAAACAGCTGATTCTTTCAGCCCATGTCTGCCTCAGACAGATCAAGGCTGGTCAGTTTGCGTGGACATGCTATTAGTCGCGCGGGTCTTTGGACAGGCTGCTGGACGCCCCTTTAAATGTCAGATTAAAAAATAGAAGTAGAATGAACGTGGTGCGTCAAAATTAGCAGCGATTTGAAAATTTGTGTTTTTTTCTCGCGTGGTAGCATTGGGGTCTTAGCTGCTTGCCATGTAATGGCGTGTTGCAAAGGTGTGAACATACCATGCCTGTTTGAATACAATTAATAAGCAATACAACATCTTTCACAAAGAAAACAAAAATACCATTGCCCAGCGTTACAGGATAAGCTCACCATTTAATATGACACACACATATGCGCCTTGTTTCCTGACCGACCTCTTTTCAATTTTTCTCATTTTTTGTAGCTATTTGCCAATATTTGGCACATACGAAGGCCGAGTTCGATCTGTCGTCAGCACGATTGTCAACTGGAATGCGTGACGTCATTCGTGTTGACGGAGCGTTCGTTGTGAGTGCTGACGAGAAAGTTTTTAACTTTGTCTCCCCATTTTTCTTTACCTTTTAACTACTTAAGAGCTCGGATTAACTATGGCTCCCCGCCGACTATGACACACTGCCTTTAAAGTGGTGTATGGGAGTGTGGCTCCTGCTCCGGTATTGCCATCATCTATCCTACTCGTAAATCGAGTGCTTCGTCCCATTCCCATCCCATTTCAATTTCTTCTCTTCTCATTTGAAATGTTCACCCAGCTTTTGTGAAAAAGGTCTATCGATCCTTCACTGCTGCCTGCACTGTCATGAAGCCTATTCCGTCATTGAATTCTCACTTGTACTAACAAACCCTATGTTCCAGATGCGAGATGCTTCTTTCCAGTTAACTGTCTTCTACGATTACCTTATTAATTTGCTGGGTGAGGCAGCAACACACCACCATACCAATCACCGCCACTCACATTTTTATGGCTACTCTTGGCAGTTAAATTCTCTTCTTAACTATCCGACCTCGCATTCCTCCATGAGAAGCAAGCGCGCCTACCCCACCTAACGTTATCACAAGCGGTATAGCTACCGCCTCAAACGCGCGCTTCTTTATGGCAGCGATTTATTCAGTCTGGTAGCGCTTTCTTTCCATGATGACGGGCCGACCAAAAAAATCCTGGCAACGCCGTCAGTTAGCGGATGACGTCACAAACCACGCGGCTTCGCAGTCATGTGACGTGACGCATAGAGAATACTGGGCCGTAATTGGTGCTGACAAATGGACTGACGGCATATCGAACGCGGCCATAATCAAGACACAGAATTTGAAACGCACGGGATATAGTACAAAACGCTCGCCTGAGATGTGCGATGTGCGAACATAGGTCGGGGCTGACGCTTATGGTGCAACCGTAGACATCTAATACCACTAGATCGGAAATGGCTATGCCCATGATATGCAGCAGGCAAGGAGCGGCATGGTGCATCGCATTAAACCAAACCCACCAGCATATAGTTTAACGATAACATTGACGCCATCAAATGAAGCGTTTATTTCGGTTGATCAATACGTGCGTTTCGAAAAGAGAACCGTCGGGTTGGGTTGCCTGTGACTCGTCCGGTTTACCTTAGTTTGTCCCGTTTGCTTGCGAGTCCACATCATTTTACACCTGATGCTCCTCTTCCGACTTGCACACATCTGCTAGTAATTTAGCGTAGGTGTTGCCGACCTAGTAATATAATATATCTATGGGTGCAACCATATCTATATCAACCGTGAAAAAGTCGAAACATTTTTGGTCGAAAAAGATTGCTTAACCGAGTGTCAATGTAGAAAGGGGTCTCGTGACTTGGCGAATGTCAATGAACTATCAGTGGAATTAAAATCACAAAATGGGCAATATATTTTTGTCAAGTACTATCTTTTTGTCAAAATATAAATTCGACGAACGACCTTGAGACGAATGTGAGGTCGTTCGTTAGTCAAAAATATGAATTCAGCTGGCAAAAACGTGCCGACTGGCGATCGCAAGCCCCGGCTCTCCGAAATGGTAGCTCCAGCACACAGTAAGTGGCCGGACATAAATGTTCGGCGCTGATAGAGAGCGTCACTAATGCTGTTAACAGTATTGGATAACTGCGGAAGCCCGTGTACCAACGGACATGGATGGAATGCTTGAATATTTACCACAAATGTGTGTGACGTTATTCATGGATGGGCCCTGAGGGTCCCTTTGCTAATCAACATTCTATTTAAGAATATTTCGGCAGGTTACATTCAAGTTAAAGACATGCTAGCGTATGGTATTCAACAAACCAACATTTGCGCAAATAAGAATAAAAAGAGACCAGGTTGTTTAGTTAGCGCTCGGCAAGAGAACATTTCGGAAATTTGGATTATACGCAAGAACATTTGAACAAATCAACATTGACTAAAGCACGTTTGGAAAACAAACATTGACAGAGCAACACTTTTGCTAATTGACATTCCATAGATATGCATTTCGCCTCATGGACATTTCGGAATGTTGGCACGCCAGCAAAAAGGCATGGCAACAAATTACCGTTTGATATACAGCGCTTCGCCTTTTTGACACGGTGGCAAAAAGACCCATCGACGAAAAGCCATTCGGCTCAATGTATTTCGGCTATTTTCCGGATGACTTTGACCACTGAGCTGCGCTCCATGACCTTGAGAGTCGAGGCCTCAATAACCACGATCGAGGCGATTGAGGGGCCCTGGAGTAAAAGTTCGCACATAGCCCGTTCGGGCCATCAGACGCTCAGCTGGTTGCGTCGCTCAGAGCCAAGGTCAACGCCAAGGGTGAAGGTCAACCGAATAACCACATCCAGGACTACGAATAGATTTTGCGGTCTCTCAAAGACCACACTCGTGGACAGTGGCGGAGATCGAAGCAGACAAAAGCCTGAGACGGCGATGGATATCCGAAGATGCCGAAGGTGACGGAAACGATATCCATCTGAATAGCTAGCGTCCTTTACTAATATGAGAGCTGCGGGCTTCGCAAGCGTACACCAGGAATGCGATGCTCCAGACCCGCCCGGACCTTTCAGCCGAACTTTGGGTCTAGGATCTGCGTCAAACACCCGACTTCATAGTGGATGCAAGGATGCACAGCTCGAGGCGGCATCGGCAAGTTGGGCCGCTCAGTGGACACCAATATCCACTGTGACGTCACTGTGTGCTGCTGGCCGCTGA